GCTTGGCAGCAGGCATCTTTACCTGCTGAGCCATCTTGCTGGCTCTCTGGTTCCTTAAATACTACAATGGCTCCAGTGTAATTCTTTTGATCTGAAGATCTATGAATTAAAAACACAGTGCCTGTACCTTCATACACCAAACATAATGCAGATCTATGGTTTCCTAGTCCAAAGATGCTGTACGTTTTGTAAGCGATGACAGTGAGAAATCAAGGCGAAACCACAGCTTTGGTGGCTAAAGATGCTGGCAGAACCCAGGGAAGTAAAAGCAGTTAGGAATGTATCAGGGGAAGTCCTGGTGGTATGAGAAGGAAGGAGATGTGACCTGAGCACTAGTGGGTTTCCTCAGCTGCAGTTCATGTATGCACAAGTACAGAAGACCCCTTGGGCATGGGATAGAAGTCTGTTGAGGGCAAAAGCTATGTAAGACAAGAGTTGTTAATGCTTTATTTCCCCCTGAGTGCTTTCTCCAAACGCATCCATCCTATGTCACAAAAAGTTGAAGTTGGATGACTGGAAAGAGAGCCCACAGCAAGCAGAGCACCTGGAACCTGGGTGGTAACAGGGGAGTCTCTCGAAGCAAGGATATCATAAAGACATGAGCCCCTGCTCCTGGCCTCATCCATGGCTAATAAACAAATCTGGCAGGCAGAGGGAAGACCCGTGGGATTCAGCGAATGGACAGCCATAGAACAGATACCAATAACGGCATACTGTGAGAGATGACTGCAGTTGAAATCCGGGCAAATTAACTGCTTATCACGTAAAATCTAAGCATTTTCAGAACACGTCAGGACCCAAGATATGTGGTGTGTATGTATTCGTAAAAAAGTAATCAGTCGATGCTCCAAGGACTCAGATATTGGATGCAGCAAAGATTTTAGAACTGTTATTATAAGTATATTCAAAGAACTAAGAAAAATATAGTTAAATAATTGAAGCAAAATATCAAAGAAGAAACAGGAAATCCCAAGAAGGAAATAAAAACCATGTATGGCACAGGGTGGAGGGGAGAAGGAATTCATTAAGGAAACTAGTGATTCGAACACTCTAGAGGACAAGGCAGGAAGATGGAGAGTTTGAGGCTAGCCTGCACTACATAGTGAGACCCCAAGCTCAAAAAATCAATGGCTGGGAATGTAGCTCAGTAGTAGAATGCTTGCCTAGTCTGATTTATTTAAGTTGCTGTAACAGAGTCACAGAGGCTGGTGGCTGATGGAGAATAGCACTTTATTACTAATATCAAGGACCAGGAGACTCAGTGTCTGGTGAGCCTGCTTCCTGGCTCAGATGGTGCCTTCTTCTTGGACAGAAGAGGCGAACAAGCTCCTAGGCTTGTTTTACATGGAGTCTAATCTCATTCATAAGGGTTCCACCCTCATATCCTCCTAAAGTCCCTGCCTTTAATCCCATTGCATTGGGGATTAGGTTTGAATACATGAAGTTGTAGGGGAGGGAACACAAACATTCAGGCCATGGTACTTATTGCTTGAGTTTTCTACTGCATGCAACAAATGAGTTCTGGTCTACATAGTAAGCATGCAAGTGAAGGGATGAAGCACGGTGGAGGGGAGTTCATTAGAGTCCCACACCAACCTCACCTGGCCTCTTAGCAGCCTAGCTCCTGAACCGACCCCACTGTAGAACCCGGCTTCTTAAACGCTAGTCATGAGCCCACATGCAGTCACCTGATTGAATGTGGGGATTATGAAAAACTTGGTCACAGGAAAAGGTGGCCAAGTAAAACCAACTGAAAATTAAATGTCTAATTAATCTGAAGTGTTTTGGGCAGTGCGTGCCTGTGTTGCATGTAGTTCTGAACATGTAACATTCAAGCACTACACTGCACACGCCACCATGCCACACAACACCAATTAATGCTGCTGGGAACACCTTGGCTGGAATTTTGAATACTGTCTGTCATGAACTACAGTGTTTTTACTGAAATCGCAAAACTAACTTTATTTTGTTCTAGTTGACTTTTGCTTTACCCTGTGTTTTTGCAGCCAGCCAGCCATGGAGCCTATACCTGTAGTTTCAGGGGTTCATTGTTTCTATAATATTGAGAAACTTACAAGTAGCCAGGTAGCACGTTCTCCCACCCAGCTACTCCTGCATCTCCATGGAGCCCATTGTTTCTGCAATTCTGAGAAACCTGTTTTCCAAACTAAAACTTATTCTTAACTGAAAACCTCTTTGGTAACTGACCTGCCCCTGGTCTGGTGTAACTGTGGTGATCTGATGTAACTATGGTTATTGGCTTTGCCCCTGGCATGAATGTAATTGTGGTTTTAAGCTTTATAAACCCCACACTGTCTCCCCTAGGGGTTGAAGAGTTCTTTTGGGTATTAGCCCCCTTTTGACCATCAGCTAATAAAGGACTCCTAATTCAACCATCACTATTTGGTTCTCTTCTGTGTCTCATGCTCTGTATTAAATATACTGCACATACAACATTTTCTGCTTTTATAGAAGCCCAGTGGCTTAATTATGGGAAACAAAGACTTAATTTTTGCTTACTGTCATTTCTCAGCATGTATCAAATTCATATGTTTGGAATGGACTGTTAGAATAATTTTTAAAGGGAATCCTTATGAGTTTGAGACCAGCCTAGTCTAACTAGTGAGTTTCAAGCCAGCCAGGGCTACACAGTGAGACCCTGTCACAAAAACCCCAAACAACTGCTCTTTAACTGAGTTGCTGACCTGAGTTTTGGCCCCATAGCCCCCACCCCAAAAAAAATGTTTTATGGATTTTGGCTTGGGATTAAGACAAAAATTCCCAGCTTCTGAAATGGCCCTAAACATACATCTATCCTTTTGTACTATATATTCAGACCAAGTGGCAGTCTCAACACTGATGGTTAGAAAACACCAGCGATGCTCTACACCCTGTGGGATCGAGTATTCAGCCATGATTTAATCCCCTGTAAACATAAGGAGCACCCATCTCATTAAGTACAAAATATATTTGTTTTTCATCTTTAATAAATGGTAAAATTATGTCTACTAAAGAATTTGTGCACAGTTGAATGCCATGGTACCTGTGTGGAGATCAGAGAACAATTTTCTCAAGTTGGTTCTCTTTCTACCATATGGGTCCTGGGACTGAATTCAGGTTGTTGGGCTTGGTGGCAAGTGCCTTTACCTGCTGAGCCATCTCACTGGGCCTTAAAGAATTATTTCCACTTTATGATTTATCATCAGTGAATGCTTGATTTGTATACTGTACACAACAATACACCTGGGCTTGCATAAAACTTTCTTGAGTGAAAAGGGGCTGTTAAATGGAGCAAGTTTAAGAGGTCCTGGAATAGGGACCCAAGATTAAAAGGTGAGTAAGGGGACTGGCATTCACGTGGTACCAGCAATTTGCTGGTGCTCCAGCCCCACAGCACAGGGCTCAGCTGAAACCTCTCAGTGGAGCAGAGCAGGTGTTTTGGACCTAATTTAGAAAGCACATTTCTGTAGCTGTTCTGCAGGGATTCAGTCTGTAGGTCCAGAATGAATCGCCCTCTTCTTGGTGAAGGGAAACTTACAAAGTTATAGGACTCATAAAGCTCCTCCTCTTTATGTTATATGAGCAGTGAATAATTGCTAGGGGAAACTCTTTGGTAGAGATGCCTGTAAGCTGAGAAGGAAGCTCAGGATTCCACCTTTTGTGAGCTGTCACCCATGCTGGGGTGGGCTCTCTGGTGATGCACTACCTTTGAGTCACTCACACTTCTGTTAGTCACCCCAATAAATCATTGCATCGCTAAGTTAGATGGGTGGATCATTCTCTGGTGTGTCATCAGTACTCAGTCTGAGAACAGCAGTTCAGTCTTCTCAGAAAGTCACATAGGGAGGGGGTTGCCTCTTGCTTTGTGTAGTTTTGGCTTAGAGCAAGTTATCAGGAATTATCACCAATTACACGCTCCTCTGCTTCTGGCCCATCTTCTAGGATGCTGACTTGGACAGTGGATGATGATTGGGATCCTGGCAAGAGACCCAGGATCTGCCAGGATAGAATGGCTTAGATCAAGTCCTATAGTCTTGTCCCACACTCTAAGCAAAGCTTACCTAATTCTGAGGTTACAGGAAGACATTTGTGTTGGATAGCTTCACTTGTCAACTTGAGACATCTGGGAAGAGGGAGCCTCAACTGGGGAATTTCCTCTATCAGATTGGCCTGTGGCCATATCTGTGAGGCATTTTCTTATTGAGTGATGTGAGAAAGCCCAGCCTATTGTGGGTGGTTCCTCTCCTAGGCAGATGATCCTGAGTTGTGTTTAAGAAAGCAGGCTGAGGACAAGCAAGTAAATGTTTACTCTGTGAGCTGTGCTTAGTTCCTGCCTCCAGGTTCCTGCCCTGGCTTCCTTCAATGATGAAATGTGATTATAAGCCAAATAAACCCTTTCCTCACCAACTTGCTTTTGGTTAGTGTTTTATCAGAGCAGCAGAAAGTAAGCAGAACATCTCACACTGGAAGTGCTGAACTCTGTGGGCTGGATGAGGGCACCAGCACTGCTGTCTACTGTTAAGCCTGTGACTCCAGCAGCACAGCAGGCAGGCCACAGCAAGAGGGCCACAGCAGACTCTGGAGGCAGACTACTAGGTTCAAGGCTGGCCTCTGACACTTAGTGGGCCCTGCTCATGCAAGTTACTTTATCTCTGTGTTCTTTTCCTTTCCTCTAGCATGTAGGAACACTCGTGGCAGTGGTGCTGAGGCTAAATGATGCCACGCACAAAAGGGTAAATGAGCTCTTATCAGCTGCCACCTCCCTCTAGCAAGCTCTGTAGGTGCTTATTCAGGAACCTGACTTTGAAACCTAAAATCTCCAGCTGGCAATTTCTCTCCTTCACTCTCCTCCAAAGCAAATCTTAGCCTTAAGCATTCCCTGCTTTGACAGACATAGGCATCCTGGATTGCTAAGGGACTAAATCCCCCTCAAGGGGACTAACCAGGTCTAAAATTAATATCAAATATCTAGTGGACACTCAAGTATTTTGCCAGGCAGCCATATTCTTTAGAATGGTTTTATTTTTAAGCATTATATATACATTTATAAGCTTACATATATTTTATGTACATGGATTGGGAGTTCTTTAAAGACAGGAAGTGCCTACTAAAAAATTCTCTAGCACAGTAGAGTGGAAAACAATAGATTAAGCAAGTGCCTAGAACTACACATGGACATAAAGAACAGACATGGGTTTTCACATTCTAGAACAACAAGACCCCCTCCTCTGGCTCTCCTAGGTGGGTAGTTACCCATGCAGACACTTGAGGCAGTTGCACATGACTTTAGTCAATCAGAGTATTGCATCCAGACTATGATGGCAAGAAGGGAAGAGCAACATGTTGTTGGCTAGAGCCATATCACAACTCCTAGTATATTCCTCCATGTGGAGTGGACTGGACTGACCACTAGAAAGTGGTGGGCACTTCCGCTGCAACGTCTCACAGTGGACTCAGTCTCCTTGCCTTACGAGAACATCAGAAAGATCCTCTGTGCCTTCCAGCTTCAGATTCTGAGGGAAGATAAGAAACACATGGACTTTGATAGACTGAGGAAACAATCCTAAGACAAATTCTAATTGTGGTAACAGGGTAGTGACTACAAAAAATGAGATGTTTCATCATTATAAGGAAAATTATATCATAGCAAATACAATCTGTATGAAGTTGGTTTCCAGTCCCTGCCAAGTGTGAGGAAAAAGCACGGGGGCAACCTTCTCTGCCTCTGGTTCAGTTAACACTGCTCCTGAGAAGGCCCAAGAGCAATCTGCACTGAGGGAGCTAAGGTACACAGAAGGGGGAGGAAGGGGGGGGCACTGGCCTCCTCCAGGTGTACCCCACTCTCCCCATAACCTATTTCCCATCCCTCAGTCACATCCCTGATAGCGACCCTCTCTCCCATCTCTGTGCGGCCCCTACCTCACAACTCTTCTAACTCCCTCACCTCAACCTCTGGCAGCTGTCTCTCTTGGGGGCCAACCAACCTTCAAAAGCCTTCCTTTCCTAACTTCCCCACTACCATTCCTGCCTTGTCTTAGCAGTGGTGGGTGGGACGCTGGTGCTCAACATCCATCCCCCTCTTCCTAGCAAACCTTCCTGGTTTTTGTAGCTCAAGTTTAAAAAGTTGTTTAAGAGATTGGGACGTAACTCAGTGGTGGAGGACTTACCTAGCATATGTAAGGTCCTGGGTTTGATCTCTAGCATGGGGGGTGAAGGAGTTGTTCTGGTTTGGACTGGCCAATCAGTTGCACGCTGCTGGCCATGGAGGCAGAGGGGATACATCCACCACTGTCACCCCATCACACAGTGTATCTGAGGCGATACTACTAATAGAGTGATGGATGAAGAGGGTCCAGATGGGAGTGACAGACTGAGAAGAAAAGGTAAAGTCCTGAGATAAAGTGCTTTGGGAATGTTTTTCTTAGGAGCTCTAAGCTCTGAGTTATCAAAGATATCTGATCCTGGTAAATGTCACAATGCTACAAGTTCAGTCTTAAATAGGCCATAGCCAGGCCCCAGTAACAGCCTCCACTGGTCAGCTCACAGGAATGGTCTGTTCATCATGTATTCTTCAGATGCCTAGAGCTGAGTCCCTAAAGGGTAGACTTGATCACTACAAAATTAATAAAGCCTGTACTGTCGTTGGGGGGAAGAGGAGCAGTACTGCAACAGTCATGGGGACCTCAGTGATGCCACTGAGTCAGTGGCATTGCCTCTCAGAATACTGCCAAGGCACCAGTGTGCTCCTGCTCCAAATGGGGAATATTCAACAGAGCAACCCACAGATTCTGCTCAGGATACCGATATGCCCATTGTTTGGTCTTTTGTTTGTTTCGTTTTTGAGACAGGGTCTCCCTATAGCCCCAGCTGGCCTGGAACTATGTAGACCAGGCTGGCCAGGATCTCACAAAGATCCCTCTGCCTCTCGAGTGCTGGGATTAAAGATGTGTACCACCATACCTGGCGATATGCTGTTACCCATTTTTTTCTTAGTCCTTCAGGTAATTGGCATCTGACATCAGATACCTCAGGATGTATTAGAAACCACATGGACAGACTTCCACTGCCATCTCCCATAACTATAAAAGGTACTATGTACATGCTACCTGTGCCCTCACAGGCCTTGTTATGTTATGTGTATGAGTGTATTGCCTATGCATGTGTAAGTGCACCCGTGTCAGGTGTCTGATCCCCTGGAACTGGAGCTATAGATAATTGTTAGCTGCCATGTGGGTGCTGGGAATCAAACCTGGGTCCTGTGCAAAAGCAGCCAGTGCTCTCAACTGCTGAGCCATCTCTCCAGCCCTCACAGGCCTTTTTGTAAAAAAAAATTTTTTTTTTTTTGGTCTTTTTGAGACAGAGTCTCCCTGTAGCCCAAGCTAGCCTGGAACTCGCTATGTAGACTAGGCTGGCCATGAACTCTCAGAGATCCACCTGCCCCTGCCTCCTGAGTGCTGGGATTAAATTTATGCGCCACCAAACCCAGCCTTTAAAAAAAGATTTTTATTTTTATTCATGTGTATGTGTCGGTGTGTACCACCTGTGACAGGTGGTCACAGAGGCCAGATGAGGGTACTGGAGTCCCTGGGGCAGAGCTGGAGTTATAGGCAGTTATGAATAGCCCAACATGGGTGCTGGGATCCTGTAGAAGAGTAGTATGTGCTCTTAACTGCTAAGTCATCTATCTCTCCAGTCTCCCCAGCCTTATCCCCCAGGCTTTTGAACAGGACACATCATCTCTTCAGAGTCAGCCTCTGCCTGCTGCCTTCCTACCAGCAGCCATGTAAGTTCTTCTTTCCTGAGTGAAATCCACCTGCCATAGCCCTGATGCACAGTAATGCTCTCGTAGGGGTTCAGCTGGGTTGCCTAAGCCTGTTTTGAGTACTCAGACTGGTGATTATAGTCAGATGGGGCAGCATGACAGAGACATGTGGCATTTAATTGTAGCTTGGGATTGAGTTCTACTGGGTCCCTACCTAAACTCAAAACTAGCTTCTACCAACTGGACAGCTTCTTCAGTAAGGCCATGAGCTTCTCCCCAAAGCTGAGCCAGACCTGGAAAAGGAGCTGATCACCTCTGCCCTTGACTTCAATGCGAAACCACATGCTAACACGCAGAAAATCTGGGGTGTTTCCACCAGCACTCCACCTTTGTTACTATACCATTAAGATCTAGTCAGCCCTCCCAAACCACACTTCAGTGTTCTAACAAGTATACACTCTATTACCCATCATTCTCCTGGGGCAGGGTATTGGTCCTAGAAGAGGTTTAGAATCTATGCTACTGGGACACAATGGCAACAATGGCACCTAGGTGCCACAGCCTAGTCCACAGTTCTCTACTGCAAGGGACAAAGTCCGTGCTGTGGACCAGCTGGCTAGAGACATTAAAGGACACCAAGGGCCCAGTGGTATCCACATACTTGGGCTTAAGCAGTCTTCACTGCTCCAGGTGGCACCACCAGGCTTCTGAGAATGGTCTCCCTCTGTTCTTTCAGTAACTGTCCACAGCTGCTTGGCTGGGGCTGGCACACAACCAGAAGCCTGCCACACTTACCCAGTGAGTACCTCTCCATCCTGTGACTGAAAGCTCTGTTCCCAAGCCTCTCCTCACCGTTCACTCTTCTGGTTTTCCTGACAACCTCACCATCTTCCTCTGCCATGCCACCTATATGCCCGGACTTCAGTGCTGGCAGGCTTCAATTTTTTGTTTTTTGGGGGACAGTTTTACTATGTAGCTCAACCTGACCTTAAACTTGTGGTAATCCTCCTAAATGAAATTGTAAGCGTATGCCATTATACCTAGCTAAGCTTCAGCTTTTAGTGTTCAGCACCCAATGAAGTGAAAAGTATTTCATGTTCCCAGGCTGGGGAACTGGGACTCATATAGTCTCAACAGCTAAACTTCTCCTGTCTGGGTCCTTTCCACTGTTTTCATTGATAGTCCAATCTGATGGTCTTTTCCTAAGAGACTTGACTTTACAGTGCCTACTTAATTTGGGGACTGAGGTACTGGCCAAGTTACTATAGTTGTATTTGTTTATTATGGGGGGAAGGGCAGAGACAGGGTCTCATGTAGCTCTGGTTGGCCTCAAAATCATGATCCTCCTGCCTTAGTCTTCCAAGTGCTTGTATGTGACCCTTGAAAGATCTGCTCCAAAGCTCTAGTGACAGGAATAGGACAGATTCAAACAGTCCCACACTTACCCAAATGACCTACCTTTTCATTGGCTAAATGCAGAAGACAGGCAAAAGCCAGGGGTATAGAGAGGTTCTGAGCCATGAGTGGGGGTAGGCTGGAAAAGAAGGTGCAATCAGTGAGCAGCTCACTAGAACTCAAAGAACAGAGGCTCCTTTATCAAGTAAAAAAACCCACACACATCCAAGGACTGAACTAACAAGAAACAAAAAACTATGCCAGACACATTTATAAACAGGTTTTCCTAGTTTTGGATTTGGAAATAAAGTATCTCCTAGTATGTTCTGGCTATAGGCAAGGACAAATGCTTTTTGTTTTTTCAAACAGGGTCTCATTTCATAGCCCTGGCTATCTTAGAACTCATGGAGCATTATCTGCCTCTCTCCCTCTGCCTCTTGAGTGTTGGGGGCTAAAGATGTGCACCACTGCACCTAGTGAGTCAGAAATTTTAATTAAAAAAAAAAAATTTATTTTTATTTATGTGTATGAGTGTATTGCCTGCCATGTATGTAAGTACACCCGTCTCATACAATGCCCACAGAGGCTGGAAGAGGGTATCAGATTCCCCTGGAACTGGAGTCATGGATAGCTGTTAGCTACCATGTGGGAGCTGGGAATTGAACCTGGGTCTTCTGCAAGAGCAGCCAGTGCTCTTAACTACTGAGCCATCTCTAGAGCCCCAGAAATGCTTGTCCTCCATGGGCATTACATGACATGGGTGCACTTACCTACACGCAGGCAATACACTCACACACATAAAATAAAAATAATGCCAGGCGTGGTGGCGCATGCCTTTAATCCCAGCACTTGGCAGGCAGAGGCAGGCGGATCTCTGTGAGTTCAAGGCCAGCCTGGTCTCCATAGTGAGTTCCAGGACAGCTGGGGCTACAGAGAGATCCTGTCTCAAAAAGACCAAAAAAATAAAAAATAAAATATTTTTTTAAAAAAGTTACTAAGAGTTGGGCATAGTGTTGTACACCTTTGATCCCAGCACTGGAGGCAGAGACAGGTGGATCTCTGTGAGATCAAGGCTAGCCTGGTCTACATAGTGAGTTCCAGGACAGCTGGAGCTACAGGGAGGCCCTGTTTGAACATAAACGAACACACACACACACACACACACACACACACTCTCTCTCTCTCTCTCTCTCTCTCTCTCTCTCTCTCTCTCTTTGCAGAGAGGAAACAGAAGCTGCTTCAAGTGTTACTTATCTAAAGCCACGAACAGTCAGTCCATCATGTTAAAATCCCCACCAAGCAGTCAGCCAGGTTTAGTGGGGAGACCGTGCCCCCACCCTAGGTTTGCCAGCACACACCTCTTCTTCAGGTCCTTTGTAAGCCCACTGAGCATCTTCTTGTCAGCTACCTCTATGGGGGCCTCTTCTTTTCCATTTTCACAGTGGTTTGCCTAATAGAAAAAGCCTATTTATGACTTGAACACTTATGTTCATGTTTAAAACAACAGAAACTTAAAAAGCTGTATATCCAATAAAGAAAAGTCTACTTCTGAATAAAACAAAAATAACTTCTTCATTATTTCTGAAACAGAAAGGCTGTAGGAAAGGCAGCAGTACCCCAGCTTGAACTCTTGACACTCACATTACCCTATTTACAGTAAACATGAACACAGTCACTATGCTCCAGGCAAGGAAAAAAGTGCAAAGAGGCTTCTAGAGCTTCTTGAAAAACCCAGAAAAACAAACAAGACCCACGACGATATACAACTTCAACTAGACTACACAGCTAGTGGCAGCATAAAATTCCTATTGAAACGAAAAGGCAAGCTTTCCCCCTACAAACAGCCTACTGCCCCCTGCGTCATGGGCAAGCAGCAGCTGGAAAAGGACATCAGATCTAGGACTTGCATCAAAATAAACTGTGATGTGCTTGTACATGGAGCTCACACGATGGGGATGGGAGGGACAGGAAAAGGCAAAGGTGCCATAAAGCATTAATAATCACTGGGAGTGGGAGAGTTACCACACTTGCCCATTATTTTTCAACTATTCTATCTTGTATGTTTGGCTGTGTTCTAATGAAATATTTTTTTTTTTTTAGTAATAAACCCTTGGGGGCTGAAGAGATCACCCAGGTTTAAGAGTATTGGCTGCTCTTGCAGAGGACCCAGGTTCAATTCCCAGCACCCACATCGTGGCTAACAACCGTCCATAAAGCCAGTTCCAGGGGATCTAACACCCTCTTTGACCTCTGTGGGCACTGCACAACATGGGTGTTCTTACATGTAGGCACTACACTCATACACTTAAAATAAATCTTTAATGAACAAGAAGGCCTGGGGCATAGGGTATAAATCAAAGCACTTTTATGTTTTCATTAAACTTTTTTTTTTTTTTTTTTTTTTTGAGTCAGGGCCTCCCGGTAGCCCCAGCTGGCCTGGAACTTACTATGTAAACCAGGCTGACCTTAAACTCATAGAGATTCACCTGCCTCTGCTTCCTGGGTGCTGGGATTAAAGGTGTGCACCACCATGCCTGGCACAAAAACATATGGAAGAGCTTCATGAATTTTCATGTCATCCTTTCCCAGGAGCCATGCTAATCTTCTCCGTATCATTCCAATTTCAGTATATGTGCTGCCAAAGTGAGCACTCACTGCACTGTTTTAGTTGACAAAATCTTAAGATTATGACTGCCACACTTCAGATCTTGAATGTCTCCTAAAGGCTCCTGTCATAGTATGGTCCCAACCCTGGCACTACTGGAAGATGTTATAATTTTAGCTCTTCAGGTCATCTGGGTATGACTATGAAAGGGACACAGGGGATCGATCACATGCCCTTGGTCTCTCTTCCATATTCTAGCCACAATGTAAGTAATTTGGCTCTACAATGTGCTTCTGCCATAAGCTGTCACAAGACCAAAGGAACAAAGTCAAATCATTGTGGACTAAAACCTAGTAAACTGTGAGCCAAAATAACCATTTCCTCTATAAATGGAGTGGCTCAAGTATGTGTTACAGCAGCAACATGCTAATACAATGATCGAAGCTTTCTCTGACCACATGACTTAGGGTCCTCAATCAATTATGAATTTTCACTGCTCAGACAGTAGAAGGTCTAACAGTTTGTGGAGTTCAGACCATTCCTTGAGCAGAAAGGGTCTGGAAAAGGAGGGAAAGATTCTAGATAAGTGAGACCTCTACTGAGGTAAGAGTTAATCAAGGTTCACCTCATTCTCGAGGAGAAAGTATGACAGTAGAGTTATTTTTCCAACATGTTCCTACCGGGAACACACATCCCAAATCAGACTGTTAGATCACAGGCTTAAACATTTCTGGCACTCGAGAGGTAGTTACACTTCACTTTCCAAAAAGTCATATTTCAACTTAAATCACAACCAACAGTGACTACTCCAAATGCTCCTCTCAACTCAATACTGGCCCAATCTCTGGCTGTTAAACTGTTGTTTATAAGGCAGCATGAGGACACTCCCACTTGTGCTTTTACTACCTGTGAGGCTGAACAGTGCTCATCTACCATCAGATGACTTCACTTGACCTGCCTGATCATCTGCTGGGTTCACTGTCTTCTTCCAGTTGTGAGTGTATCTCTCTGCTTTGGGGTCATCAAGCACACTGAGGCATCATGAGCTCAATGGTTCTCCTCTCCCACCCTAGGGATCTAGAGATTAGGCTTGCCACCACGTACCTCTGGGCCAGCCTCTTTTCTGGAGAACTCTGTCAGCAAACTCCACATGTTCTGCTTCAACTTCTTCATGTCCATCTTTTTGGCAGTCTTAGCATAATGAATTTCAATTTTATTCACCTGAATAGGTATAACAAAGTAAAATTAGGCAAAAAACAGTTTCAACCAAGGAGTTTATTTATACATCTCCCTTTAAACTGAGTCTGTCATGAAAATTCTCATTGCTTTTTGTTTTTACCTTTTTTTTTTTTTTTAATTTTCTTTAGTCTTTTTGAGACAGGGTCTCCCTGTAGCCCCAGCTGGACTGGAACTTGCTATGTAGACCAGATTTGCCTTGAACTCACAGAGATCTGCCTGCCTGCCTCCCAAGTGCTAGAACTAAAGGGATTGGCCCAGCTAGTTTTTTGTTTTGAAGACAAGGTCCCATGTGGCCAAGGCTGGCCTTGAATTCACTATGTAGACCTTAAATTTGTTTCTGATCTTCTTGTCCTCCACCTCTGGAGTACTAGGATTACAGGCGTGTGCCATCATACCCAGTTTTACCCAGGGTAGGGGATGAACCCAGGGCTTCATTCATATTAGGTAAGCACTCTACTAGTGGAATTACATTCCCAACCACTAATTTCTTTTTAATCAGAGGTAATTTACATTAAAGCTAACTAAGAATTCCAGTGTAAATGAAATAAGTGGATTAAATATTAGTGAAAGCAACCAAATCTGTCACTTGGTGAGCAATAGATAGAAGTCTAATGCTTGATGAGCTGAACCTGGCCAGGGTTTCACATAGAGCCACACAGCCTCACTGAAGCCTCATAAAAAGCTATGCTCTCTGCCGGCAGCCTCATCATGCACTTTATTGAGGTAATCAATTCAACCCTACTTATATTACCAAAATTTTAAGAACTGAGGATGCAGCTCAATGATAGAGAGTCCCTGCCTAGGATGTGCAAGGACCTGAGTTTGATTCAACACTGTTAAAGTAAATAAAAATTTAAAAACATAATAAGAAAAGGTTTTTGGAACTTATGATCTAACTAGTTCTATCTCTATAACATAACCTAACTTGTATCAGCTCAACCCTGTTTGAAACTCAGCTGCCTGGAGAGCAACAGGTTAAAAAGGAAAAGCAGACAGAGCTCAGGCTGAAGTGAATCTCATGTAGGAAGCAGCTAAACAGACTTCTGGCAAACCATACATTCCCAGCTGCCTCTTCCTCACCTTCTGCGGCTCGGCCACCAGGTTTGACTCCCCATAGGTCGTGATTTCTAGCCCTTGGCTTTCAGGAGTGTGACCATTCTCTTGTGCTGTTTTAGGTGTATGGCAGGGATCAGATGTGAGGTCAAAGGTTCCAACCGGTCCCGTAAATAAGTCATCAGACTCTTCGTAATCACTGTCAACAGCCTGGACAAGGAAACAACCCTTCAAGTTTAGCAGACACTGTCAAAGAGGTCTGGAAACCGACTCCATGAACACAAAGCAAGAACACACCACCTGAGAGTTCACTGAGTGATTCACAATGAGGTGGGCTGCTCGCTTCTTTCCTTCCTGTCTCATATAAGCCCTACTAGAATCATGAATCTGTTATCAGTCTAACACCTGGAAAGCAGAAGTGCCCTATCACATTTGGTGTTCGTGGTGATGGGGATCAAACCCATTGCTTCACGCATGCTAGGCAAGCACTCTACAAACACATCTGATCTCTGCCATACACCAGAGAATTTCATTCTGAGACCCAAGCTCAGAACCAACGATTAGATTCTCAAGAATGCGAGGAGGCAGAACTCAAGTCTTTTAATAGGCTCCCTGGGTAATTCTTATACATTGAAGATGGAGAAACATTGTTCAAGAAGTCAGACTGGATTTTCATTAGAAAAACAGCCTCCCCAAAGAATAAGGTGAACAGACTGTTCCTCCAATTCTTTTCTCCCTACATGCAAGGACACAGAGACCTAAATCTCCTTTCTGTTACTTATATTTACTATTAGTAGACTCACTAAGGACTGTATAGCAGCAGGCCAAAGATGCTGTCCATGTTGACTCATTTATCAGAGACTGTCCATCACGTCCTACATCCAGGGTTATGAGGTAAGGCAGCCCCTAATGATCTAATCCCTCAATACTATTCAATTCTTTTTACTGAGACAGACTCTGCACCCAGAAAACCTCTATTAGCCTCAGAATTTCTACTGTTCTGCCACATGGATGAAGAGACAGGAAGCATGGAAGAGATAGCAGAACTCTTTTTCCCGATACCTGTAGTCCAGGGCAGAAGTTGGACGTGTCATTAGGGTTGTTGTAATCATAGTCTTCAATTTCTTCATAGTGCTCAGTCTTTGCTTTCTGGTCCTGGCCCCTCTTAAGTAACTAGAATAAAGAAAAACAAATATGTAAAAAATCAGTTTCTAGAAAAGTAACTGCTGGGGGCTGGAGAGATGGTTTAGTGGTTAGAGCACTGGCTGTTCTTACAGAGGACCTGGGTTCAATTCCCAGCACCCAAATGGTGGCTAACAACTGTCTGTAACTCCAGTTCCAGAGGACCCAACACCCTCTTCTGACTCCACAGGCATTGCTCAACATGGGTACACTTGCACACACGCAGGCAATACACTCATGCACATAAAATGAAAATAATAAATAAAATTAAAAAAAGAAAAACAACTACTAAACAAGGCTGGGGAAGTCAAGCTTAGCTCCTATGTTCAACTTCATCCTAGGACATAGTGCTAGAGCAAGGAGGGTCTTAACAGGCTGCATAGTTCAGCCAAGTCTCCAATGCATAGAGCAGCATGGGGCAGTAGGGCTCACAGCCTCCACTTGGCCCCCAAAAGCCAGAGCACTTCCACCTCTGATTTGCAATTGTGTCTTCTGCAGTTTTATTTGAAAAGAAACAGTCCTTCACTAAAAACAAACACTGGAAATCCTGCCTACAGCTTTCTGAAAGAAATTGAACTCATTGCACGTGAACAATCCTGGTAACTCATTACCTTAATTTAAAGGAAACCTATCTGGGTTGGGGAGATGGCACAATTGGTAAAGTGCCTGCCTCATGAGCCTGAGGACCTGAGGTCTGATCCCAGCACCCATGCAAAAAGCCAAGGGAGGTTGTGGCATGTCTATAAACCTGTCAGAGGGAGGTGGCTCCCTAGAATGCTGCTCAGTGAGAGACTCAAGTCTCAAAAAGATAAGGTAGGACTGGGGAGATGGCTCATTGAGTAAAGGTGCTTGCTGCCTGTGCTGGATAGCTTGATACCCCTGGGTTGAGGGGGGAGAGTCAATTGGGAAATTGCCTCCATGGGACTAGCCTGTGGCCATGTCTATGGGGCATCTTCTTGATTGTTGGGTGATGTGGGAGGGCTCATCCCACTGTGGGTGGTACCACCCCTGGACAGGTGGGCCTGTGTTGCATGGGGGAGCAGGCTGGGTGGGGGCAGGGGGAGCAAGCCAGTAAGCAGCGCTCCTCCATGGCCTGTGCTTCTTCAGCTCCTGCCTCCAGGTTCCGGCCCTGAGTTCCTACCTTGGGCTCCCGGATGAACTGTTACCTGGGAGATTTATGACAAATAAACCCTTTCCTCCCCAAGTTGTCACAGCAATGGAGAAAACAAACTAGGACACCACCAAACCTGACTACCTAAATTCAATCCCTAGGATACCTATGGTGGAAAGAACCAACTCCTGAATGCTGTTCTCTGACCCCCCCCACCCCCACAATGTGTATACACGTGTAGGGTCACATGAGGAAGATACCCAACATCTACTGCACTTCCCACCATGCACACATACTGCAAACACACAGATGTATACACATCCACTAAAATAAAGGCAGCCTGCCTCACTGCTGGGGCAACTACTATTTCCTATACAGCAAAGTGAGAAGCATTCAACTCTTTTCCCTAATTTCATCTGTATCACATGGCCTTCCACAGCCTTACAGAACCATGCCTCTCCTTTTGGGAGTGCTTGGTGACCACAGCCCTTCAAATATCTCCAGGTCTTACAACAGTGATTTGTACCAGGAACATGAGGCTTTAAGGTGAGGAAGATATGGCTGGAGATGTGTTCAGAATATAATATTACTTTAATTATCTTAAAGCACTTCTGTATTTCAAAAATGACCTACAACTATGTTTTTTTAATACAAATTCAAAAATAATACTGAACAGATATCTAATGGATTAAGAAACGGCCCATGTTCTTCCTCGGTTACTCGTATGACACAACCAAGGCCCTCCCATTAGAACACCCCTCTCTGGGCATGCCTAACTTACCCCTCACCAACTTCTAGTGTTTACCAGTTTTTTCACAGTGTGGCTCTGCTGGAAGAACGAGGGCTCTCCAGTTCCTGCTAGCTAGCTGCCCTGCCTCTCACATGGAAAGCAATTCCCAATTACCAGAAGGAGCACAAGTTCTTTCCTCTATAAGAAACAATTACGAAGCCAGGCTTGGTGGCGCATGCCTTTAGTCCCAGCACTCGGGAGGCAGAGGCAGGCGGATCTCTGTGAGTTCAAGGCCAGCCTTGTCTATACAGTGAGTTCAGGAGAACTGTACAGGGAGAATCTGTCTCCAAAATGACCAAAAAGAAAAGAAAAGAAAAGAAAAGAAAAGAAAGGAAGGAAGGAAGGAAGGAAGGAAGGAAGGAAGGAAGGAAGGAAGGAAGGAAGGAACAAACAAACAAACAAACAATTATGAGGAGCTGGAGAGATGGCTCAGCAGTTAAAAGCACTGGCTGCTCTTACAGAGAACCCAAGTTCGAGGCCCAGGACTCACATGGCAGCTAAAAACTGTTAACTCCAGTTCCAGGGATATACAACACCTTCTTCTGACCTCCTCCGGCACTGCACAACTTGGGTGCACTTACATACATGCAGGCAACACACTCATACAATCCCAGCGCTTGGGAGGCAGAGGCAGGTGAATCTCTTTGACATTGAAGCCAACCTGGTCTACATAGTGAGTTCCAGGCCAGGTGGGCCTACAGGAGACCTTGTCTCAAAAAGACCAAAAACAGGAGGGTGGGTTCTGACCTCCATCTGTGTAGCCATTGTGATCTCAGCAAACCGCCAGAGAGTGCTTGTTCTGGCCTCCCTCTGGCATAGGGGCTGAGAACTAAGGGGACTGCCTAAGAGCACCCAGCAGAAGCTGCCTCCATGTGGTGAAGACTTTGAGCAGGAACTAACACTGATTCTAACCACTCCAACAACTATCAAAATGCCTGAAAGCAAATCCTGAATCCATCACTCTAGAGTCCAGCCTTGGCAGACAAAAAAAAAATAAGGAGGAACCCAACAGAGGGATGCTTTTGGAAGCTCTCATCAAGAAATTCCAATGGACTCTCACATGAACATTTGAAAATTGCCCTGTTCTTTTCCCCCTATAGGTAAGAGTTATGCAACTTGGGAGCCTCTTAGATAGACCCACTGAAGGGGTACCCCAATTGCCTCACACTGTGTCCTTGTTCAGCATGGAAGAAGCCAGAGCGGTCTGCGGCCCGATTCCCTATCGGCAATTTGGGTAACCTCTTCAGAGGATGGTGTGACAAGAATAGGAGGTAGGAATTGGCTAGGCAGCTAGTATAAAAAGACCCCAAAGAAAAGCAGCCAGTTTCTTGGCTAAAACTCACAATGTCCTTGGGCCTCTTAGCAAACTACTCTATTCCAAAGGCCAAAAATGGCAAAAACATTTGGGAGATTTTATGTACAGTTTCTTAGCTAAAACTCACAATGTCCTTGGGCCAGTTTTAGGGTTACTCCATTCCAAAGGTCAAAAATGTTGAAAGTATTTGGGAGCTCTTACCAAATCCTTAAAAGATTTTAGGGTTACCTCTTCAGAGAGGTACTGTTAGAGCAGCAAAAAGCCCCATTTAAAAAAAAAAGTACTTAAGTTATCAGAAAAAAGAAAACAGTGATGGGGAGATATGGGAGGAGTTTAAGGGCAGGTAGTGGGCATGGATTTAATCAAAACACCTTATATGCTTATATGCCTGTATGAAATTCTCAATAAATTATTTTTTTTAATGGGATAAAATTTAAACATTTGAAAAAAAAAAAAAAAAGACCAAAAACAAAAACAAAAAGAAAACAATTGTGAGCTGGGCATGGTGGCTTATTCTACCACTTGGGAAGTAGAGGCAGGAAGATTGATGTGAGTTCAAAGCCAAGCTGGACTACACAGTAAATTTCAGGCCAGCCTGAACTACAGAATGAGACCCTGTCTCAAAAATAACCCAAGAAATATAAACAAGAAACAATTATAAAGAAAAAAAAAAAACAACACACAACAAAAACAGGACCTACAGTACAATGACTTTATTCTACCACCATCATCTCTGAATATTCAAATTATCACCTTGGCCCTATTACTGAAAGATTCATAAGAGGGCTGGAGGGAAGATGCCTACCAGGTTGCTTCTTTGTGTGGCTGGCAAGGTGTGGCGGAAGTGTGTTGCACCTGCCTTGGCCCATCTATGCCTTAACTACAGCAAGTCCTGGCTTGAGGCCACAGCTATCTTTCCACTATTGTCACAACTTTGCAACTCCTTCTGTATTTGTTAAGTGAACAATACTGATCAAAAATGAAAAATAACACTTTCTGAAAAAAGAATGTGGCATATTGTTGAATTCAGAGAAACACATATTCTTGAAATCTTGGGGAGAGCTGGGCATAACGGCACATACCTGTAATCCCAGTACTCAGAAGGGCCAAGCCAGGAGGATCCTGAGTTTGAGTCAAGCTAGGACTACATAGTGAGTCTGAAACTAGCCTGAGCTACAAAGTGAAACCTTGTCTTACAAAAATGAAGAGCTGGAATATACTTAGTGATAAAACACTTATCTACCATGTTTCAAGCCTCAAGCTCAATCCTCAGTACCACAAAAAGAAAAAAAAAGGAGGAAAAAAACCAAAATGAAGATTTTACAACATTATGGAAGAACAGGCAAAAGAGAGGAAACTATAAAACTTCTCATGTGACTGACACTGCAAGAGAAGGTAAACCAAAGCCAGAGACGGAGCTCAGAGACAGCCTTGCCCAGGTAAGGAATTCTCCAGTCTTTGACAATCACCCACCATGAGCTTCTGGTTAGCTCTCCCAGGGCTCCCTTCGTCTAATCCCTATCCCTTCTTACATTCTCTCAGAGTGCATCTGACAGTGATACTATCAGTCCCTCCATCCATGCAGTCCATCAACTGGCCTGGCAATAACAGTTCTTAATGGAAGTAAGGATGGCCTTACCCTTATGCCTGGTTTGAGATAAAGTTCAACAAGAGTGTCAGTCTCATAGTGGAAGTCTGTAGGAAGAGTGGTGGCTTTCCAATTCTGGTTCTCCAAAGTGGACTTGGTCAGAGTAGTAGCAGCCTATTAATTAAAAAAATCATTTTTAATAGCAATGATCAGCGCACGTATGCACACACACAAACACACACGTACATTTAAGCTTAGGAAGGCTTTGGGGAGCATTAGTCTGCCACCTGAGTGAGATTCTATCATTGCCTAATGAAGTTTCTGTGCCAGGTATGCTGGTAGATGCCTGTAATTCCAGCACTCAGAGGAGGCTGAGGCAGGCAGATTGCTATGAGTTCATGGACAGCCTGGGCTACATGGTGAGACCATGGCTAAAAAATTTTAAACTACATTCTTCTTGCCACTGACTTTGAGACTATTTTTCAATGGTCCCTTTAGGGAATGAAGACGAATGAGACTACCTATTTCCTCTATCAATTAAGTTTCCAGCTGGGCATGGTGGCATACACCTGTAATTAAAGCACTTGGAAAGTGAAGGCAGGAGGATTAGGAGTTTAAGGTCAGTCTCAACTATATAGTGAGGCTACCCTCTTTCAAGAAACAAGCAAAATTAAATATACAATGCATTTTGAAAATTCCATCTAACAAGGAAAGAGAACAGAGTAGCTGAAGAGGGTTCAAATGCCATTGTGTCTATTACAAACCTTTGTTTTCTGAAAATATGTATCAAAATCAATATCCTCGTCAAAGTCAATTTCAAAGTCTTTCTTTGCACTCTTCTTTTTGTTCTCCACTTGGGAGGCAGTGTGCTCTGCAGAAATGAACACAGACAACACATTCAGCTGTGGCCTACATCATTTCCCCCCTCAAACACCCACAAGGCAGCATTCGTGGCTGAGCATCATGACAGTGTATGGAATACAAAATCACACACCTCACTTCCACTCCACATTTGTGTTCTGGCTAACAATTCCTCTCAATGCCAAAAAGTCAAACCTGTGAGGCTGGCACACATCTGGAAGGTTCAGAGTGCTACCTTGCAGGACTCGTGTGTGTGTGTGTATGTGTGTGCCTCATTCCCATGATTTAAGTCATGATATTAGGAAGCAGTGTAAGGTCAAGAGCCCTGTTCTCCTGCCTCAGTCTTCTCCACATTCAGAGTCAACTGACTTCTCATCCAGGCCAGCCACTGACTATAATGCTGGCTCATCAGTGCTTCTTCAGCTGATGGGGCAATGCAAAAGAACAGCAATCAGCATTTCCCTCTTGACTGACTGCTGACAGGGAAGCAGCATCTGTTACACCACCTTTTATCTTAAAGTTCTACCCACGAGTACATACGCTTGTGTTGAGGCCTAAAGCGCCAGTGATCTGGGCCAGCCCACATCTTCATGGTCCGGGGACTGAAATAGGAGTATTCTCCAGGTTTCATGGATAAAAGGGGGCACATGGTCTGGATGTCTCCATTCCCGAGGGAAATAATTTCTTCCCTGAAACACATATGAAATCATTTGTACATATATACTGCATTGAATATAATGTGTTTTACATGTAAGCTGGTGATGTTGCTGCAGTCACTACCTGCCCACTCAAGCACAAAGAAGCAGCACTTCCAAGGTAAGTCCAATACAAGTTCTGTATGAAGCACCTAAGGCTGGGGACAGTGGTGCTCACTTTTAATCCCAGTGAGCAGAGGCTCTCTATGAGTTCCAGGTTAGCCTGATCTACAGTGCAAGTTCTAGGCCAGGCCAGCCAGAGATGTACTCCGGAAGATGAAGCAATAGATTTTGAGTCTGAGGTCAGCCTGGGCAATCCAGTGATAGTCCAAAAAAAAAAAGTCAGAGCTGGGAGTCAGTACAGTTCCTAGAATTCCAGTCTTGCATCTTCCCACATACATAGTTTTGCCACACAAGATGACAATCCTTTGTTCCTCACCATCTGCCCACTGATGAAGGGGTCCAATAGACACTGCCGAAGTTCCTACTAACAGTAAAAAGAGGTCCCAATTGACATATTCAGCTCCCCAAGAGCTTTGGGGACCTGCTTTGTAACCTGTTAGGTCATCCAGCTTCAACCTTTGCTGTGTATGATGAGCAGAGGCTTGTTCAGCTTGGCAGGTTGGACAGGGGAGGGGCTCTCTCCTGGGCTGAGGCGCTAGGAAGCATGTTAGTACTGCTGTGCTGCCCTCTAAGGGTAAAGGTAGCAAGGAGACCTTAGTCTCCTTTGACAGTGACTTTGTACAGGCTCTGAGCCTTACAGAGCCATGCATGAATCTTCCTTATGACAAGCCCTACAGAATAAGTTTAAAAAAAAAAAAGCTTTAAAAGAGGGACAGGCGTGACTTTCTTTACAGAATCTCAGAAACAAAATAAAACCCCAACAGACTATATCCATGTATTTAGATGAGGTTTAAAGGAAAAAAAAAAAAGAGGATACAAAGTTTGGGAGGGGGTAGAAACAGAGGTGAATCTGAGGTGAGATAGGTTGAATATGATCAAAATACATTTATGAAATCTCAAGGAATAAAAGTATTACTTAAAAAAAACAAGCATCTGCATGGAAATATTAATATAACGAAACCTATTATTTTATATACGTAACACATACTAATAATACAAAAAGCCCTACATTTCTAGTCTTTTAGACCCTGTGTCAAGGACCAGCCATCTAGGCTGTGTAAAGGCATAAGAGCCTGAATCCCTTCCTGAGAGCCTGGCCTGGTACTGTGCAGAGGGCTTGCCAACTTCCTCAACTGTAGTTACTCAACAATTCTTTACACACACTGACACCTCTGGCTCTACTATACACAACCTACTGAATCCACAGGGTCCCTCCTTCAGTCCAGTCATCCCAAGATCAGCGAGCCAAAGCTTTCCTCTCAGTTGGCTCAGAGTGCATCCCAGCCCAGCAGAACACTTTTTTCTTTTGAGATAGTCTTACTATGCAGCTCTGGTTAGCCTGGAACTTGCTACATAGACTAGGCTGCCTCTGCATGCTGTGATTAAAGGTGTGTTGCCACCATGCCCAGCAGAATTCTTCATTCTTTTAGGCGCCAAAAGGGCTCTGCTCTGGGCAATGTCAGTTTTATAACCAAGTGGCTTGCCAATATGAAAAGTGAGATGTGATTCCACCACGAGTCAGCCATGTGTCTTGGCTGATATGTGCAACATGGTACACCAGCACAGCTAACCAGAGCTGGTAGCCTGTTTGGAACTGCTGGAAAACACTTCTGGAAAACTCCTAGGACCTTGAGAGCCTTACTGGCTGCTTTGGATCTGGCAGGGCTCCTTCCAGCTTCGGAACTCTTCATGATCCCCAGCTGTGGAGGGGTCTGGTTCACTGCTGGCATCAAAGTCCTCCTCCAGGGGCCCATCAAGGAACTCTCCATTGTCACTGTTCTCAACCTCTGCGTTGATGTCAAACACCTGATCATTCTTCTTAAACTTGTCCACCAGGGCCGACACAGACTGGAAGCAGAAGAGAGAGCTCTCTAGCTATCCCCATTCTTAGGACCATCCCAGCTCACTCCTGGAGAGCAGCCACCCTCATTTCCAGCCTTCCTTTCTCCTGATCCTCTCACTAACCCTCCCACTAAAACTGGCACTCTCACAAGGAAGTTTACATTGTTCAGCCAGGATGAAGTTGTATTGTGTTGGGCACATTCTGTAAAACACAAAACAGGAATCTACATCCATTAACTACATGTTTGGAGAACAGTTTTCCATGGAGACCATTTATTTTGGAAGTTGTAGTAAGTAGGTTAAAGGGGGCCCTGCTAAAAATATACAGAGGAAGGCTTTACACACGACAATTTCTCAGGAAACTATGTGCCAAGGGACTCAGTCCCAAAGATCAGGAAATACCTCCAGCCTGACAGCAGCCCAAGACCAGAGACCACTGTGATAATCACACTTGAGAGTAAATTTGACCCTAGGGAAGCAGACAAGAGGACAGGAAGCTGACCCCAAAGTCCACTCAGCTGTATGATGGTCCTGCTAGGGTTCACAACACCACCCTGACCTAAGCAGTCTTTAGATTCCTACCGAAGTGCCAAAGGAAATATTTTCTGTACTCTTGGCTAAGTAAAATTGATGTCACAGTTTTGGTTCCCACTGGGCAGAACTAATCCTGGGCCAGCTAACTGAAACCACCAGCTTTTGGAAAAATGCCCCAAGCCCTTATAAGTCCAAAAGTTGACCACACCTCATTATGTGTTTCACTGTCCCATTTAGTAAACTGGAACCCGGCCAGAGAAGGGCAGAGCTGGCGGTCTTCCACACATTGCTGCAAGGGCGCTGGGGGGGACAGCAAGATCACAGGGAGAGATTAGAGGTGGGTTGAGCACACTGCTTCAGAATGAGAGAGCACGCTGAGAAGCACAGGCACCTCACTGTTCTCCAGCAGAGGCTAGAGTGCCAATGCTGGCTGGCTGCCAACCTCCTGTTTGCTGAACTGTTCTGGGAGCAAACAGACACAGTGGCACCCACAGTGAAGGGAGGCTGTGATTCCCACAGTTAGCAAATGCAGAGGAGAAACCTGAGGCATGGACATTTGATTCTGAAATGAACTCTGTGCTTCACTATTGCTGGGAAACCCACAAACCTTTTCTTAAAAGCACATTAAGTACCTAGCAATCATGTAATGGTACTTATTTTTAGTCCCAAATTAAACTAGCTACAAATGATATACAGCAGAGGATCAGACACAGCTGAGGACATAAACACAGAAAATAAATTGTTAGCAAAAACAGTTATACTAAACGGAATTTAGTCACGAACAGAAAGAACGAAGCTGGCATGGTGGTGCACGCCTGTAACCCAGATATCAGAGGTAGAGGCAGGAGGAGGGAGGGCGAAAGGCCAGCCTGGCTATACAGCAAGAACCTGCTTAAATAGAAACAAGAATGGATGCCGTAATAACTGCATGTCCTGCCCAGGGAGGGAAGAGCCATTTCATTCGGCACACAGGAGTTATCACAGGGTGTGTAGCTGCTGTACTACATTTCACTGGCCTTCACACTGCCTGCTCCCCACAACATCCTCAGAAAGAAGCGAGGGCTGTTGAAATCTGCCAAACTCATAGAGGGGACTAGTAATAAGAGATCAGTTCTTGGACAGGGTCTCACTATGTAGCTCTCGTTGGCCCAGAACTCACGATGTAGACCCAGCTGGCCTTGATCTCAGAGATCTGCCCGCCTCTGCCTCCCAAGTGCTGGGATTAAAGGTGTGCAATGCAACGCCATGCCCAGCACAGATCAGTTCTTAAGACTACCACAATTCCCTTTCTCAGGGCCCTGTGGACTGAAGCAAATAAGAACCAGGCTCTCCTGGCTAGATAGATGTCCCTTTAAACCTCCTTCCCAAGTCAAATTCTGACACTCAGGTAAGCCTGTGACTGCGAAAGCTGGCTACAAATGGTGGGTGGCACAAAGACACAGGGGATGGTTTGCTGTTTGGACTCCATACTGCATGGAGGAAAAAAGATGTGTGGGGTGCTAGGTACTGTTAAAGGATACCCAACTTGGCTTTCCAGAACTGAGTAATCCAAAAAAGAATATGACAGGCTAAACCCACGGCTGAAGAGCAGCTTCCTTCATAACTGAAGTGCCCCGATGAAAGGTCTGTGATTCCCCTCACCTTTCAAATCAGTCATTTCCACCCAACCTAAATCTGGCGACTTGAGAGGTTCTCCTGTGGAGAGGGTCTGCACATCAGAAGGAAAAAGCAGCTCGCTTCTGTAGTCCTGGCAGTGGAGAGTGGAGAGAAATACCCCTGCTGTGCTGCACTCATCAAAGGAGGCTGCGGTCTTCTGAAACATGGGATCCACCTGAATGAAAGAACCAACAGCCAAAGCATTACAGCAATCAGCAGGAAGAGATGCAGAATCACCCACAGGTCTGTCTACAAGACCGAAATGTCTCTGCACATGGTCAGAAGGGAAGGGTTTTTTGAAGTAATCAGGTAAAATCCTGGCTGAAAAGACAGTATGCACAGTCAAATGAATAAAGGGTGGTAAGCATTTCAATCTCTATTTCTAACATACCTGGACAAATATTCTCCCACTACTCTCCTCCCACAAGGCACTGTTTCTAAGGCTTTTTTTTTCTTATTCGTAAAATGTTTGTTTTATGTACATGTATGTAAGTGGAGGATAGAAGAGGGTATCAGGTCCCCTGAACTGGAGTTACCAGTGGTTGTTAGTTACCATGTGGGCTCTGGGAACTAAATCTGGGTCTTCTACAAGAGCAATAAGTGCTCTTAACCATTGAGCCAAGACACTGTTCTAAATGGCTATCTCTAATAAGCCCAATGTAGTAGAATGCTGCTACAACAAATTCTGTTGCCTTTAACAGCTGGTGGGATGGAGTTAGTCACAGGTTCTATTGTTCCTGTTTATTTTTGTTTGAGATTGGGTTCTTACTTTGTGCCCAGGTTGACACTTTACTTGAAAGCCTTCTGCCTCAACCTAGTGCTAGGTTACAATGCCACATCTGGCATTGTAACAATCACTATTGTTTCTCTACACAGAAATATTTCTAAGACTTGGAAGAATACAACCTGGATGTCTTGGTAAAGGACAGGCACCACCAGTAGGGCTACATGGCTGGAAAAGGTTATAAAGAAATCCCCAAGGCTAGGTAGGTAAAGGAGAGGAATTGCATAGCCATGTGACACCAAGCCAAGAGCAGAACTCAGCACAAGCACAGGACAGGGCTTTTTTTGTTGTTGTTATATGTGAAACAAAAAGGAGGCAGTCACTTGGGATGTTATAGGAAACTCTGAGATGGGGCTGCATATTATGTTTGAGGGTCTCACTGATGCTTTGGGACATGGCTTCCAAGGAGAGAAAGGGATTTGGATCACACAACCCGGCTGGATCACACAAGCCGATTGTGGCTTCCCGGCAAGGTTTTGTTCTTGCCCTCTCCATGAGCCTATCTTACTATCCTAAGTCCCAGAGAAGCACATATGTCACCTTTACATCTTCTTGTGTCTTCCACCCTCACTCAGGCAGCTTTATAGGCCATGTTTTGTTTTGTTTTTTTGTCTTTTTGAGACAGGGTCCCCCTGTAGCCCCGGCTGTCCTGGAACTCACTATGTAGACCAGGCTGGCCTTGAACTCACAGAGATCCGCCTGCCTCTGCCTCCCAAGTGCTGGGATTAAAGGTGTGCGCCACCACGCCCAGCTAGGCCATGTTTTTTTAATCAGTGTACCTGCCTTATGGCAACATCTGAACTTCCACTCAACAAGCATTCCACACGTAGTGAAGAGCTGTGTGTCCTTAAAAATAATGTCCACTATACAAGTAAGTGTTCTCACCTGACCCACCCCCTTCCCTATAGCATTTGCTCTTTGATCTGTAAGACACTCCAGCAGCTACAAGAATGGCAGATCAATGAACATCTGCCCTCTTTTTTATTTTCCATACTGAGGCAATTGCTGTTGACAGCAGGTTACAGAGGAAAACCAGCTTCCTAGGATTGGATACTGTGGTTTCTTCCAGACACTATTGATTTCTGAGCTAGCTAGAGATGACTCAAGTGGTTAAGAGCACTGGCTGCTCTTGCAAAGGACCTGGGTTTGGTTCCCAGCAGCCACGTGGTGGCTAACAACTGTCCTAAATTCCAGTTCCAGGGGCTACAACACCCTTTTCTGGCCTCTGCAGGCATTGCACAAAACAGGTGCACTTACACACATGCAGACAAAACATGTATGCATAAAATAAAATTTTTTAAAAACACTATTGATTTCACCAAGCATAAAACTTCATAGCCTAATGTGGCATGGGCTTAGAGGCATCACTGGCTTGGAGGGCACCTAAGCAGAGGCCTAGGAGCCATCTAGGTTTCTTCAGGATCACATGTGGTAAGATGAATTTCCAGTCGTCCTGTACTTAATCCCCAGTGACTTGACTATTTCACCAAAAGCAAAACAAAACAAAACAAGAGTGAAGTCCCAATTTATCTGGGAAGACATAAAAACAAGAACTGGGAGAAAGAAGGGAGAGCAGAAAAGGTGAGAGGATTTTATAGACTGATACCACGTCAAACCATGGGTACTGCCCCTTAACATGAACTCACCCACTAATATAAAACCCTAACGAACTATTCTTACCTTATGCCAGTAGTGAGTCCTTTTTCTTCCCTCTTCCTTCCTTCCCCCTTTCTCCAGGTCTGGGCTACAGTGGCCTTACCTCTGGCCTCACCCTGGCATGCACAGCCATCTCCACCCTATTCAGTTTGGAGCCATCAGTCAACTCAGAGTAGACCTACCCTGCCCTCCTCTACTCAAGTACTTGGGAAAGCTAGTAAGGCCTCCACTTCCCTAAGCCTCTACTTACTTGTCTCACCAGACCACTAGGACTGATCTCAGTACTGCCATTTATCTACTTCATTTAGTAATCACACAAAGAGTCCCCAGAAGCTGGGTGTGGTGGCATACGCCTTTTATTCCACCAGAAGCAGAAGGATCTCTGAGCAATCAGGCCAACCAGGTCTACATAGTGAGAGACCCTGTCTTAAAAAGACCAAAAAAAAAAAAAAAAAAAAAACTAAAAAAAACAAAAAAAAAAAAAAAAAAAACACTAAACAAAACCAAACAAAAAAACAAAAAGACCCCAAACCTGAGAATTCTACACTGCCTAGAATCCTCAAGTACACAGCTCAGACATTCCCCTTAGCCCACCTCCCACTCAATGGTCAATATATGCCCTAGAGCCCTCTAGTGACCTAGTCAGCTATCAGCAAGCTTCCTTAGATTGCCCACTTAATATATATATGTACTCTCTGTATGTGTGTAAGTGCACCCATGTCATGAATGACCAGAGGTGAGAAGAAAGCACTGGATCCCCTGGAACTGGAGTTACAGACAGTTGTTAGCCACTAAGTGGGTGCTGGTAATCAACCTGGATCCTCTACAAGAGCAGTCTTAACTACTGAGCCCTCTCTCTAGCCCCAATTGCCTGATTCTTTCCCAAGGTTCTGTCTGTCTACTTGTTCTAATTCCTGCATTGTCAAACAGGGTGACATCACCCTCAAGGAGTAAACTTAGTTTAGGACTAGGTCATCTTAGCTATTGCAATAATTCATGGTCCTCCTAACCTCAAACCTAAACAAAATCTTTGCCCTTAGCATTTAATCTCAAGGGGAAAAGAGAACAAAGACTATCAGAAGGCCAGGAAGTAGGGCAGACAGTGCAAACAGGCTCAGGGCACTGCTCTGGCTGAGACAGGGAACTCTGCATGAGGTTCTTCCTTGTAGTCTTCTAAAGTGGCTGCTTCCTCTCCACAGCCCTGGAGTCACTGGCCCAGGTGCTCCATTCAGCCCAGGAGCTCCATTCTTTCCTGAATCATCAATTCCTTTTCCAACAGCCTGCTGCCAATAAAACCTGCTGCTAATTCTTCCACGTAAAAATAAGAACAAGACTCTCAAGGTTACTTAGCCCTGTTTGCCATCTCATTACTTTCTCTGATCTCCAACAAAACACCAAATGACAACTCTCTTATCTTAGTGTTTTTACTCCGTCCTTCCATTAGTTTTCCCATTATGAAAAACTCCAAATTTGAATGTTGATAGTAATATTAATCTCTGTACAACGTCTACCTAAACTGTGCACTGAGTAACATCTTGTACAGCTAGCTGTTCATGACCTGTGAATTCACTCACGTGTCAGTATTGACTGTCTCTCAGCTCCCAACCTACCTACCCTGCTCTCAAGCTGGATTTGAGACCTCTTGGCTTTGTCAGCATGTTAGGCCTACCAACAGGGATCACTAGAAGAAGACTGCAGGGCCCCAGGAAGGAGAAGGGGGATGCTCCTGGCTTTTCTTTCTGTAGGCTTCCTGTTCCAAGTGTCACCAACAGTGCTTTCAGTACAGCTATGGCAGGGTCTGGCTGTAGCAGCATCTAAATCCAACTTGCAATTTTCCCTACACTCTCAGAACCAGGCTCACTATGTAGCCCTTGGAGACACTGGCACCAGCCAGAAGTCAGCATGCCCTCCCTCAGAGGTTTGGATCATAGGCTCCAGATCCTCCTTCAAACTCAGGATGCCAGCACCAGCCAAGCAGCATTTCCCTCAAAATCTGAGCTTATAAATCCAGGGGAACCTTTTCCAAGTTTGCCAGCAGCCTCAGGTTGCCAACATTCTGACACAGTTGAATCTGACAGCCCCAAAATGAATGAATACCACACTCCTAGTATCCCACCTACCAGATGATTTGCCACCTCTGTCAGATTGATATGCCCCAGCCAGGCGTGGTGGCACACACCTTTAGTCCCAGCATTCGGAAAGCAGAGGCAGGCGGATCTCTGTGAGTTCAAGGCCAGCCTCGTCTACACAGTGAGTTCCAGGACAGCTGGGGCTACAGAGAGACCCTGTCTC